GATCTTCCTTTTTGCTCTCCCCCCACCACCCATGCATTCTGCAAATATGTTAAGCCTTGGGAGAAGCTGCCAAAAAGGGCTGCTTTTTTCTTCTTCATGTGAAAATGTAACACTGTAGTCAGTTTCAGGCAGCTTCCCCAGCACAGGGTAGAGCTTTCTTTAAATGATGTGTCAGTTGTCCTGTTTGGCTGTACTAAGTGAACTAAAAGTTTCAAACAAGAATTTACAAGCCATTCCTGCAAAACAACAAATGTAGAAGCTCTTGTTCCCCTTCCCATCATTGGTATTAAATTTCCTAATCTCATTTCCTCTTTGTAATCCACTATTTTCTCTTTATTTTAAAAACTGGTTTGTCAGTCATGCTATTTCACTGTTGCACACCAGCAGAGCTAAAAATATTTTTTTTTAAATTCCAGCTTGCAAACAAAGTAAATGACAACAAAATGAAATGTTTCTCCCTCTTATACAGTAATCATCCTTTTAATTAAACAGTTCCTCATCACATTTCCTCTTAGCAATCACAGCTGCTTAAAAATGATGAGGGAAGAGACTGCATTGCAGGAAATTTTGTAATTGCATTGCAACCCAGAATGGCATGGGATTACCCGTCACATCACCAATCTGCCAGGTATATCAATAGTACTTTCCCATTCTACTCTGGAAAGGTTAGGGCTGTTTTGTTCAAGCCAAATATATTTTTTACAAACCAGCTTTTAAAAAGACAGGAGAACAACACAAAAGACATTGCACTTCAATACTTTAGCTATTATTCTCTATAATAACCACTTTACTGGAGATTCCAGGCAAAATGGCTCTTCAGCTCCACCTGTCAATGAATATAATAGAGATCTGAGGCAATCATGAAGATTCAAGGGAACAGTATTTCTTTGTGAAGGCATGGGATAAAGAGTGATATACCTCGCCACTGAGAGCAAACATCCTGATTCCACAAGGGAGATCTGCATTCAAAAGTAGCCAGCTGCACTCATAGCTGACACAGATGTAGACATGCATTCAACTATGCATCCCCCACCTACATTACGATGCTCATCTGTGTTCCACTGAAGTGGCTGGCTGTATCTTTTGATGCATGTGAGAATTCACATCCCTATCTGGAGCCACGGATTATTATATACAACTAGTGACTACAGATGAATCTGGGCTAAAGACAAGTACTTTGCAGCATTGTGTGTATTTAAAATACAAGATCAATGCTCACTACTAGTGATAGTCCTAAAAGCAGTATAATCATGGGGCATGAAAATGTGGTATGACTCCGAGGAATGGTGTCAGTGGTTGTGCATGCTGCTAAAAAAACATGGCTATGATATTCCTGTTAGGGTAAAAAAGCAGACATACTTGCTGATGCCACCATCTGTTTGCTTGCAATTCAGCCCTGTTGGGGGAAACTGAGTTTTGGAACAACACTTGATATGCTCTGGTTGTAAGGAAGGACAGAAGGGTCATAGCAGCCAGCAAAGCAAGATATCTGGTTACATTCGCTTGGGAAGCCATCCAGCCAGCCCAAACATAAAATGAAAACCAATGCTGTAGGCACCAAGTAAGATATAGAAAGATACTGATTGCAATGCATTGATGCGCTGTTAATTGCAGAGCCTTCGACTGGTGTTATAGGTGGGTATACAATCACCAGATACATTTTAAAATGTAACCACTGGTGACTTCTGGGGCCCCATGGCACTTTCTGGTCCTTTCTGGTCCTCTGGGAAATTCAGCAGTCCTGGCCACCGTGACACCATGCTACCTGTTCCCTCACATCAACTTCATTAGACTACTATTAAGAGCAGAGAGAGACAAGAGCAAAACAGTACAAGCACTTTGTAGGAGAGCAAGGGATAAAATCCTGTATAGCAACAGTGCCACTAAAAATGACCTGTGTGGGAAACAATCTGATGTTTCTAGAATTGTGTGTTTTTAAGATGACTTAAGAAGCCATCTAATGTATTCCATTATAAATACCCTGTGTCAGTGAGTGGGATTAATTTTGTCCAAACCATCTATGACAGGTCTGCGTCTCACTTCTTTTTTCAAAGGCCCAGGGCTATTTTTGGGCAGGAACGCACAGGAACGGAGTTCTGGCTGGCTTCAGAGTTGGCCTAGTATGCTAATGAGCTGTGCTCTCAGGAGTATGGCCTAATATGCTAATGGGTTTCTGCTGTTGGATGTGGCCTACTATGCTAATGAGTTCCTGCTGGGCTTTTTCTACAAAAAAAGCCCTGCAAAGGCCCATTGATCAGGATTCCAAAAACTAGTTGGAATATGCAATGCCTGCTGTACAAGAGAAGACGTTCCTACAGGGGCAGCATATGGAAAGGCCAATCAGATAGGGATGTGGGGGCTACCTTCCTTGTGCAAAATAGTTTACTTGTTTTGTCCCCATAATTAATTTTAGGCTTACTTCCTGGTTCTTCTTTCACCTTTCCCCCTTCCTCCCACCAGCCATACAGCTAGGATCCTTAACTATCTCTAGCCATGTTAGTTCCTAAATATGTCAGTTTGTTTCTTTAATTAGGTCTGCTAGGTTGTTTAACTAGTGTTAGGCTTCTATTTTTTTGTGTTTATATTTAATCTAAGTTTTATTCTTAAATCTAGAATCATCTGAAAGATCCTCCTGTTCGAAAGGGGATCTACATTGTATTGGTAATGAGACAGCTGCCTCTAGTGTGGTCTATACTTCAGAATTTGGCTTACACAGTCTGTTCCTGGTTGATGGAAAGGAGGAGGGACATTCTGCATCATATCCTCTTACCTTCTACCCTTTGTGATAAACACTGAGCCAGGGAAAAAAGAGGCAGTTTTCAACAATAAGGTTTAACAGGAGTTTTAGCTCTCTCTGTTACCATCATGAGCACACTCAGCTGGCCCTTTGGCCATAATCCGATGCATTAGTAGACCTTATCTAAGACTGTGTAAGTCCAGAAATTTAAATTTGCTAAGCATGTCTTTCTGCGGCTTTATGATCATGGTCAGTTTCATTTACAATTTTTTTTGTAAGCCATTACTAAAATCAGCAACCATGATCCCTGTTCACAGTGTGCACCTATTTTGGGGGAGGGGGAATAATATTTACCACAAGGAGCAGCTAAACTTGTAATATACATGTTTGATAAATAACATTTTTTTAAAAATGGCTGCAGTTGCTGATTTTGCAGTTCCCTGAAGAAGAAGGGCATATGAGTAAAGATAAATACTGTAACAACAAAGGGTCAAGTTAAGATAAATGTGCAAGAGAGGGCAAGGCTGAAGCAGACTACAGCTCATTGCCGCAGCCAACAGAAGACACTTTGCAATTCAAGATGAGGAAGAATATGTCAGGCCTTAATCAGTCAGGTGTCACTGCCCATGGGGAGCTGCTAATCTTGACAGGGCCAGAGGCCAGTAGCACAGCCCAGGGCAGGTAAACATCAAGTTCCCCAAAGCAGGAAATGAAGGTCACAAAGGGCAGATAATGTAGTTCAAGAGGGGTAGGAGGTCAGTTTCCAAAAAGGTAACAGTGCTGGGGAAAGGGACCAGGTCCCTTTGCCAGGCAACAGAGAGAAGCAGTTCATATGGAAAAGCAAGTGCTCCTCAATATAAGGTGCACAGTGGGCTGGGATGGTCATGGGGATCAGCTGACTGAGTGTTGCTTGGGTAGGAGGGCTGGATCTGTGCCCTGGATCTGTCCCCTTGAAGCACTGATGTCAGTAAGGACTGAGGTAAGAACCAGTGGTACAGGCAGCAGGGCCCTGAGGCCTTGCTACTAGGAACCCTCACATCCCTACAGGAACATGGATCTACCAAGAACTCTGGTGTTGCCACTTTGGGGTCAATATTGACTGAGAAAGGAGAGATAGGCATTAAGAATGTTATAATAAACAATGTAGTGCACATAGTGTACAGTATGTATTTCAATCAAATCCTTATCTCAGTTGTCCTTGCAAAGGCCCCATCAGGGAGGTGCTTATTTTCAGATGGGAAATGAAAGCTGAGACAAAATGTGTTGGCCAAGGTCATCCAGTGGATCATGTAGGCACACCCAGCATACTGGTGAGGGGTGGGGGGCAATGAGATTTCACTAGGGCAAGGAGGGAAGGAAGCAAGACAAACGGCAAAGTTCACAGGCCATGCTTTTGGATATGTCATATACTGTATGTGAAAGATTATAATGCCAACAACAACAAAAAATCAGTGTAGTGTAAGAGCTTTTGTTGGGATTACATTTTTCTACCTCATAACTCCAGCAGTGTTATCACACAGATCAAATGGTACCCTCTTTTGTTAAACTAAAGGATTTGTCACCTTTAGCACGCCTGTTTGATTACTTTGTAACAATAGGCACTCACTATATAGAAGCGTGGGGGCTCCTGAGGAAGAACATGGGCAGTAGGGAAATTCTCCCCACTCCACTTTCTGTAAAAGATTCCCGTGAAACTATCATATACTCAGTCAGACCATTGGGCTTTCAAAGTCAGTATTGTCTCTGACAGCCAGCTGCTTTACAGGGTCTTGGGCAGAGGTCCTTCACATTATTACCTGATCCTTTTAAACTGGAGTTGCTGGGGAGTGAACCTGGGTTCTTCGGCATTCAGTGCAGACAGTTTTCAACTGACCTACAGCCTCTCCTTGTAATGTCTGCATGGCTGAGCTGGGTTACACATTCCAGCTCCTCAACTCCAAGTCTACCCACTAGAAAACACTAGCTCTGTAGTGTCTCAGCTCAGAACAGAAGGACAGAGTCTCAGAGTAAGAAGCAAAATTAAGTGTGGATGGATAGCCACAAAAACCAGGGGGAGCAAGATGGGTGGATGGATGAATTGACTTGGTGACATTGTTACTTGGGTGAGTTGCAAAATGGGCAAGAACAGAGGAATGGGTGCATGGTTGGATTCAATGACCTCTTGCTCTTCGTTCACAAATAGAAAAAAAAGTTGGAAGTCAGAATGAAAGATTAAATACAGAACTCTGGAGCAAACCTTTACCCAATTCTCCTTCATTGTCAGCAGCCAGTTCCTCCAGCTTCCGGTATGGATGAAGATTTGCAGTTACAGATAGTGCTTACCCTGAGCAAACAGGAGCATGAGAAGGTATCTCAAATCCAGGAGGTGAAAGGGCACTTTGACTTTCTTCCTCTGCACTTCATACATCTCTAAATGGGGCAGCTTTTTGCCTTGCTTTGCATCTTCCTGAGATAATGCTACTCAGTCCAGAAGGGGTTAGACGTTCTGTACATCTATTTATTTTCTACCTGGAATCTGCCAACATTGTTGGAATCCTAAAAATATTCATGTAAAATAAAATTCGATATCTAGTTCTTATGATTGTGGAAGAAATCTTGAACTATGTGAGGAATTTCACGAAGAGCGGGTAGGTTGGGGGTTTTCCTCTCTCTCCCCCCTCTAATACATGATCAAATTAATGATATATATATAATTATAGCAATATAGCACTATAGCAATAATTCAATCTGACAATCAGATAAATTTATGCAAAACATATATACTTGTTTATCTATTTTAATAATATGGAGGCAATTCTAGGCACATTTATTTAGAAGTAAACCCCTTTGAACTTAATGAGACTTAGTTTCTAGTAAGTGTGCAGAGGATTGCAATCTCTCTTTAGAAATTGAATTCGATGGTTTTTCAGATGATGAGAGAATTCTATACCCCATCCCGCTGCAGACTACATCCATTTCCTTCTCACTTCTGGTCCTTTCCTAACTTTCACAGTTCTAAAGACTAACTGTTTGTAATAGAACACCTAACATGAATTATACACGTATTAGGAAATTAAAGTTGCCACTAAACATTGAAAAGCCATAAAGTAAAAGACAGCCTTTGCTAGCAGGAAATAATCCTTTCTGCCGCATCTTTCTTGCATTCAACTCAGAACTGTCCATTTTGATTGCAGGAAGTTAGAGCATGGCAAGGAGAAAATTCGCTGTTACAAAAGGCACTGGAAGAGAGCAACCTGGGTACTGAGGAGGAGGACGAAAATGATAAGATGAAGAAAAGCCAGGTATAGAGTACCAATGCTCAGCTATCTGGCAGTGAAGATGCAGAAATATTTGCAGATTTATCATCCGACTCTGCCCCTCTCCTTTCTTGCCCCACTCAACACCGATATAGCATGGAATCCAATACAGAATTTTACTTCCTGAAACTCTCACAAGTTAAGGAAGGAGGACCATCATAAGATCATGTTCTGTGTATGTGCCTGTGTGGTCTCTACTTTTGGATGGCTTCTGAACCTGTAATATACTATGCATGTGTAAACCATTCACACTCTGGGTATCTGTGGACTGTAATACATTTTATCCCTCTGTATCTTTCCAGTCTTCTGTGTTGGAGCTGGCAGACATTTTTGGATCAGCACCTGTAACTTCTACCCACACATCAGCTGACCCATGGGATATTCCAGGTGGGGGTTATCCTCGATCAGTTGAGGTTTGGAACCATGATACGGCCTTTTCTCCTGCCTTTTCTCCTCCAGCTCTGTCTCTGTCCAGTTCTTGGGAGCCTAACAGTAAGGAGCTTTGCAGCTGTTCTCTCCTTTCCTTTTTCTTCATACTTTCTCCCATTCCATTCATGCTTTTGACTTTGCTTGAAAGAACAAACAGGGTGAACAAGGTTAACCCACTGTTTGTTAATTGTGGGTTCTCCCTTCAGCTGCACCATATTATGGTTTAGGAATATGGCTTGATTGATTTAAAATATTTTGATGAATTAAAGAGAACTCCCCCCCCCCAATAATCAAGTAACAGATGTATTTAAAACACACCCATTATTTTCAATAGAAGTCTTTACTTCAGTAATGATCTTTGAAGGAGTGTTCCTTCTGAAAAGATAGACCACTGAATTAAAGCAAAAACAAAAATGAATTTATGTGCAAATTTATGCAGATGTAACCCATTAAAATGTAAACAATTAACTGACTAGAGATCCTTAAATTAGATGACAGCCCTAGTTCCTGCCCTCTGCCCTCATCTGTCTGTCCTTGACTTCTCATAGATCTGCCTTCCCCTCCATGCCATCCTGATTACATTTTAATTCACTTTGCACTTCCTCCTCTAAAACCGGAGACTCTTCTTTCAGATTCCAAATCGACTGTGGAATCAACAGGAACATCCTGGCATCCCACTGCAGACCCCTGGGTTCCTGTGCCTTCTGTGGATCCCCTTAGTCAGACAACATCATCTACTAATCAAGCCTCTCCGGGGCCCTGGAATCTCCCACCCATTTCCTCTTCTGCCTCGTGCTCTGATCCATGGGGAATGAAGTCCACCTCTTCAAGTCTGTCATCTTCAGGTCCCTGGGGAAAGCCCTCCCTGTCTGCTCCAGCCACTGCAGGCACTACTTCTATTGCTGATCCCTGGGGAGGCTCTACTGATAAACCTGCCACAGCTAGTAAGACATCTTGTTTTTGTCCGCCATTTTCAAGGCTTCTTAATGTGGAGAATCAAAGGTTTTGTTTCTCTAACTTTATGACTATCACCCAGTATTTTCCCCAGTGCTTTCAGTCAGCTGTATAAATTTACCATTTGCCTGCTCACTTAGGATGACTAGTACCAGAGTGAGAAACTGTATAGTACGCTCTCTTGTGTTAAGGGTAAAAGCTGCCTGTTTAGTTGGCTCAAGAGATAGAAATGGGGTTGATCACATCATTTATGAGGTTGGACCTGCAGCTTTCTCTGGCTCCTTTGTGTCTTTGAGGCTTCTGACTGTTGAGGATACAAACAGTAAGTCAGTGGGCTTCCGGTTTATGGTGACATGCAGGCAGACGCATCTCCCGGATGTTCCGGGGATGCAGTTTGCACACCAGCGTGTAGGAGGGGGTGCGACGGGTCGTGACCCCCCCCCAGAGCCTTGGTAAAAGTCTCCTAGCCAGGGGGCTTTTGAGGAGTGACCTCTTCGCCGGTGCGATGTCAGAGAATTGAGGCGCTCCTCTGCCCTGAAGGTCTTGCTGCTGAGTGTCCGCATGGACATGGCATCGCTGACCGGGTCAAGCGTTGGAGATCGGGCGAAAAAACCGATGCCAAGCATGGCCGGATGGCCGGCAATGAACTGTGAGTTGGGTTGAAGCAAGCATGATGAATTAAAAAGAAAGCTGCCCCCCTAAAAGAGCAATGGAAAGCGAGCGGGGGAGGGGCATCTCCCAAATGCAGAGACGAAACACAGAAACAAAAAGGGGGGAGCGGAAAAATAAGCGTTTAAACCTGTTTTAAGAGACTTACCAGAGCGCAGATAAGCATTTGGGCGAATATCAGAGACTTTAGCAACTTTCAGAAAAGTAAACAAATCCAAAAAGATGGCGGGGAAGAAAACGGATAAGGACAAACCGCTGAAAGCAAAACTAGTGGGCAGTCCTCGAACGGAAGAGACCACTGAGCTTTCCAAAATGTTGGCAGATTCCTTGTGCCCTCTGCTGGACAAGATGACTAATATCAAGCAACAATTATCAACAATTGGTCAGAGTTTGGCTTCGCACCAGCTACAATTGACTCAATCTCTAAAAGCAACGGAGCAAATGATGGAGAAGGTGAAGGAAATGGACTCCAATACTAAAAAAGTTAAGAAAAAGGTGCAAAAGCTGGAAATGAAACAAGCTACAGAACAGTCACAAGTTCTACAGCTGCAAATGGAGAAGGCAAATTTGGTCCTATGATTCCAAGGGGTCCCGGAAATTAAAGGAGAAAATCTGAAGCAACGGCTGAGTGAAGCAATAGCCCCAATGATAGATTTGACAGTGGAATACCTTCACAGCGAGATGGATGTGGTCTACAGGTCCTATTCCTCATACATCAAGAAAAATAATCTGTCTGGGGAAATAGTAGTCAGATTCTTGAAGAGACATGTGAGAGATTCTATTTTGAAAGCAACTACGGGAACACCCTTGAAAATTGGGGACAACAACATCAGGATTTTAAAAGACATCCCATTTGACATAAGGCAGAAGAGAAAGAAATACAAAGAACTAATCCTTTTTCTACAAACAAATGGTATCAGTTACAGATGGCTAATTCCAGAAGGAGTCATTTTCAAACTCCACGATAAAAAAGAAAAGATTGACTCTGTTCTTAAAGCACGGGATTTTCTGTGAACACAGCTGGGGGAACCAGCTGAGGACAAGAAGGAAGAAGAAAAAAGCAAATCTGATGGCGAGTCGAGCTCGGTGTCTTCTGACGAGGACTGTCTCTCTGAAAAAGGGACGGCTGCCCCCAAAAGTCCATATAAATTGAGGATAAGAAAAGATAAGAGAAAATAGAGGCTGAAGGACTCTGACGTGTGCCTGAAAATTTTGAAATAACTTTGGGATGCTCTGGGGATCTCTTTAAACAGTTAAATGGTGGCTAAAAGTTAATTAACCTAGCACAACCGACTATGTTCAATGTATTATTAGCATTTTAGAATAACATTGAGATAAGCTGACGTATTGATCTCCTACTCTTGGGTTTTTAGTCAGTAGTGGGTCTTTTTTCTTTCTCCTTAGATGTAGTTCCCCTTCCTATATTTTCAGTTATAGTTTGTAGTTTGTGAAAAAACTAATAAAAAAACTCCCCTTAGGGGGATTCAAAATACAAAAACAAAAAACAGTAAGACAGTGCAAGTGCGCATTCACATAGCATGTACCTCTGCCACCGCTAGGCTTATGGTACAATCCTAAGCAAAGTTACACCCTTTTGAGCCCATTAACCTACTGGATTTAGAAGGGTGTAACTCTGCTTTGGAGTGCACTGTTAAACTCCCAAGTGATGGATTAGTGATAAAAAGAAAGAATGAACCACTTCTCCAGGGCTCCTGAGTGGGGTGTCTGGGGAAAATCCATCCTTCTCCTTGGCTTTCCAAAACAAGAAGAAGAGGAAGAAGAGGAAGAGATTGGATTTATACCCCGCCCTTCATTTGGAGTCTCAGAGCGGCTTACAAACTCCTTTCCCTTCCCCTCCCCACAACAGACACCCTGTGAGGTAGGTGGGGCTGAGAGAACTCTGAAACAACTGCTCTTTCAGGAACAGCTGTGCCAGAGCTAGTGACTGACCCAAGGTCACATCAGCAGGTGCAAGTGGAGGAGTGGGGAATCAAGCCCGGTTCTCCCAGATTAGAGTCTGCACACTTAATCACTACACCAAACTGGCTCTCAAGGACAAGTACACATATGGATCACTGCCTCCACTTCCCCTGCACTCCTGAATCCAAGAGAAGTAGTCATAGTGATGAGAGAAGGTGCAAAGGGGGCAAGTGAGACAGATGCTGACTTTTCTTTTTATCTTTGCACATCCACAGGCAATGCTGCTTTTGACTTGTTTGCAAAGCTACCAGAACAAGTGGATCAGCCAGAGCATGACAACACCCAAGCTCCATCATCTGTGAAATCTAACAGTCCCGTAGGTAAGTGAAGTTCTAACACATGCTAGGATCCGGCAGAGAGGGATACGGTTATGAGAAATGTGAAGGTGGCCATGGAAACTAACTTCTGCCTTCCTGTAACATTTTCAGGCATCATGTTGTTCCTCTAATCTTGACAATCTGCAGGGGGAGGGGGGAATTCTGTACCTATGACAGTTCTATGACTGTGTTTATTTCTTAGTATTCATCCTCAAAGTATCTTATCAAATGCTTATTAAATTTGTAGATCATAGTAAATTGGGAGGGGTAGCAAATATGGTAGAAGACAGAGTCAGGGTACAGGATAATCTTGACACCCTGGAAAACTGGGCTGAAACAAAAAAGATGAACTTCAATGGGGAAAATATAAAGTTCGATATTTAGGAAAAATCAAATGCATAATTATAGGATGGGGGAGACTTGTCTTGGCAGTAGTATGTGAGAAAAGGATCTAGGGGTCTTAGTAGACCATACACTGAACAAAGAGTCAGCAGTGTGATGTGGTAGCTAAAAAGGCAAATGCAATTTTGGGATGTATCAACAGAAGTATAGTGTCCAGATCACGCAAAGTGATGGTACCACTTTACTCTGCTCACCAAGAGTAGAGTAGACCTCACCCAGAGTATTGTCTTCAGTTTTGGGCACCACAACTAAAGAAGGATGTAGACAAGCTGGGACATGTCCAGAGGAGGGCAAGAAAGACGGTGAGGGGTCTGGAGACCAAGTCCTATGAGGAAAGGTTGAAGGAGGTTTGTATGTTTAGCCTGAAGGGGAGTCAACTGAGAGGTGATATGATAACCATCTTCAAGTATTTGAAGGACTATCATCTAGAGGATGGTGCAGAGTTGTTTTCTGTTGCCCCAGAAGGTTGGACCAGAACCAACAGGTCGAAAATAAATCAAAAGAGTTTTCAGCTAAACATTAGGAAGAACTTCCTGACAGTTAGAGTGGTTCCTCAGTGGAACAGGCTTCTTCAGGAGGTGGTGGGCTGTCCTTTGGAGGTTTTTAAACAGAGGCTAGATGGCCATCTGACAGCAATGCTGATTCTGTGAACTTAGGCAGATCACAAGAAGGGCAGGAAGGGTTGCATCAGTGCTTAGTTCTCATGGCCCTTTCTTACATGCCCAGGGAAATGCCTATCACCACTTTGGGGGCAGGAAGCAATTTTCTCCAGGACAATTTGACCGGAGAGCCTGGAGGGTTTATTTGCCATCTTCTAGGCATGAAGCAGGGTCACTGGGGGTGTGGGGGGGAGGTAGTTGTGGATTTCTTGTATTGTGCAGGGGGTTGGACTAGATGACCCTGGAGATCCCTTCCAACTCTGCTTCTATGATTCTATCTACCTTAGTCATGGCTCATCTGTTCACGTAATCTGTCACCAGTCCTTCATGTGTGCTGGGGGCTGGCCTGGTTATAAGATTGGAAACTCATATGGTGATTTTTAAACGTGAGACTGTGCATATTCAGCTCCAAGAGTTACCTCAGAATAGGTTATCCATGAAACTTTGCAGGGAGCAACCTAATTTTGCAGTTAAAATGTCTGCATGAATGAGGACACTTTGAAGTGTAGAATGAAGGACAATAAGCTGTGTGTATGTATGCGATTTAAAGGAGAGCAGTTCTGATCATAAGGGAAATTATACAGAGTCCAAATAATGGAATATCTGAGGCAGTGTTGTCTGTTATTAGTGACAGTGGCTATCCAAGGCATGAGGTAGATGTCTGTCCTGGTTATAACAATAACATTTCTTTAACTGGAAATGCTGGGGACTGAACCAGGAATCTTCTATGTGTCAAGGATGAGCTGAGGTGCATCACTCTGGCTGTGGTCACACTGGAGGCTTGCCATAATCCGAGTGTGCCTCTAATTGCACCGGTTTAAAGTGTTGCAGGGCAGACCAACCAGACAGCACACCCTGGGGAGGTTTCCCCTTACACTCATCTGGTGGTCAGGCATTCACATTACTGCAGCACCTCAACCACAGAGTGTGCTGCCTGGTTGTTTTTGTTTTAATGCAGGTGGGTGCATGCACATATGTGCTCATGTGCATATAGGTAAAGGTTCCCTTGCTCAAAAGCCAGTCGAATTTGACTCTAGGGTTGCAGTGCTCATCTCCGTTTCAAAGCCGAAGAGCCAGCACTGTCCGAAGACATTTCCGTGGTCATGTGCAGCCCCCATGTGCATATAGGCAGCAACTAAAAAAAAAAGTTGCGGAAATGGATCTTAGGATTCAGACTTCCCTTCCAGGTTCCTTTCGCAGCAGGAGAGTTCAGACATCCGGGAAAGTGGAGTGGAAGTGCTGGCATCCGTATACACCGGACTTTCCCCGGTGCCTGATTACTCCACATCAAAAGTGGGGCAACATGGGGTGCCAACGACCCGGACACAGAAGGCAGATGTTGCTGTCTGATTGTGCTCTTTAAATCCACAAAGGCAACTCTACTATATCACGGCAAACTGCTCACGTGACCACAGCCTGTTTCTCTCTCTCTCGCACGTGCACATACACACATACATGGAAGAATAAACAAAAATTACTTGCAGCCACAAGGATAAATGGTAGAATTACAAGAGTAGAGGCTGAAATTTTGAAATTCGGACTGAAATTTAGTATGAAATGAGAAACTGAAGAAAACCATGGATTGTCTCAATTATAAAGGCAAGGATTAACACCCCCCCCCTCTCTCCTTTGTTTTTGTTGGTAGATGTGGATCTGTTTGGGGACATTATTCCAAGCACCAAGGAGAACGGAGTCAAGAATAAGGACATTTTTGACATTACAGGTTTAGGAGACTCTCTTCCTGATTCCAAGAAGGACAAAAAGGATTGCAAAACTCCAGAGACCTTTCTTGGCCCAAATGCCTCTTGCTTGGTTAATTTAGACTCCTTGATCACGGCTCCCCAGAGCTTGAAATCTCGTAATCCATTCTTGGCAGGTGTGTCATCGGAAGGGGAATTCCATGGGATTCTATAAGGGCTTATATGAGGCCTGCTGGTTTTATTTTTATTTTATACCTACCCTTGTGTGCCTTGAGCTCCCAGCCTAGAGCACAATTTTCTATTGCGCAGTCTCCTCCACCACAGAATTTCCACCCTTCCTTATCTTGCTGGTGGTGGGCTGGAAATGTCTGCTAATGGAAAGCAGAGGAGGATCTTTCCTGGTTCCTCCTTCCTGCTGCAGACCTCCAACTCGCCCTTCGCTCTATTCCTGAGGGCAGCAAGGAAGTCCCATTGCACTGATAGAAATACCTTCTGTTAGCCGAGATTTACTGCAGGATCCAAGCCAATATTTGTTATTTGAATGCAACAACATAAGATGTGCCCTGCTATACAGACTAAAGGTCCATCTCGTCCAGTCCTTTTTCTCACAGTGGCTGGCTAGCCAGATGCCCGGAAGATGCACAAACCGGCAAACTGATACCAAAGCCGCCCCCTATTGTTCCAGCTCCATCAATTGGGCCCACGTAACAATTATGGTTAGTAAGTGATGGCCCTATCCCTCATGAATTTGTGGAATCCTCTTTTAAAGCCATCTGAGCTAGCGGCCATCATTACATTGTGCGGCACTGAGTTGCACAAGTTGTTCATTGTGGGAAGGAGTGCTTTGTTTTGTCTGACCTTGCTTGGAAGAGTGCTTATGTCCTCCATGCCTGTGATTCCAAATAACTCCACTAACTGCTAGGTACTTTAGATCTTGAAAGAGTATACAGGTTTCTTTCAGTGCAGTCTTAAAGCAGAGTTACATCCTTCCAAATCAATTAAAATTAATGGGGTTAAAAGGGCATAACAGTGGTTGTGACTGTACTTTTTTTTTTTTTTAGTGAAACTTGTGGTCGTCTTGCACAGAATTCTGAGGGCCTAAATTTCCTGGGTCTCTGACCTTAAAATGTTACATCCATAATGGAGGTTGTGATGGTGTCTCTTTTTCCTTCTCCCAGGTCTCAGCACGCCATCTCCCACCAATCCATTCAACGCCACAGACCAGCCCAAACCAACTCTCAATCAGATGCGAACCAGCTCCCCAGTGCCCAGCGTAGCTATGGGAATGCCCATGAACTCCATGACCTATAGTGCTTCCCTCCCTCTTCCGCTCAGCAGCATCCCATCAGCAATGACACTCCCAGCCTCCGTGAGTGCCTTCCCTCAGGCTGGAGCAAGGCCTTTCCCAGAGCTCCCCACCAATTTGCCTCAACCTCTTCTACCACTGTCTGGCTCAGGTCCTGCTCCACTACCTTCTCAAGGCAGTATGAACCCTTTCCTTTGAGAAGATGCTGTCTGCATTGTGTAAACTCTCTTGTCCCTTCTCCAGCTGTGACGGAAATCCTCCAATGCCACAGTGTCATGGGCACTGACTCGTACATTGGGATGAAGGACATTTCTCCCTGGATGCTCTTCTCCTAGATCCTGCACAGGACAGAGACAAGCTAGCCTGACCCTCCTTGCTTGAAGAGTTAACCGAGGAACCAGCTGCTCCTTCATGTTGAACGCTGCTCCTGGTGGTATTACAGACATTCTGGTCACCAACTGGCACTGCTTCGGTGGGCATAAAGCCCACTGGAGTTCCCTAAAGAAGGGCTTTAATTTTTGAGGGCCTCTGTTCTCAAAGGTTTTTTTTTTTTAAATCCTGGTGCACATGGAAATTAATATAAAACATAAATTAACTCATTAAGGTTGTGCCCACAGAGGGAAGGGATGTCTTTGTAAGTTGCATGGAAAACACAAACACTTTTGCCAAAGCTTGTAGCTACGTGGCATGCATGACAAGGGCACAGTCTCATTTCTGGAGATCAGGGCAGCCCAACAAGTATAGTGGAGGTCCGTACAAAAGAAGAATTCAGATTTCTTTTGCCAGTGACACCTTCTGACTAAGAAAAACCTCTTCCTCAGCTCCAGTCACCCAGTAACACTGTGGAAAGCTCACAGTCGGCAACTAGAAGACCCAGATTTTATGACCATAAAAAACCTTGCATAAATATTCCTCTTGTGCATTCTTTGTGCTGGTTGCAAAGTATAGAGCAGATTCTGAAACGAACTGTTGGGGACCAGTAAGGAGGAGAGATAGGATATATATTTATTTTAAAAATGTGTGCAGAACAAGATTGTAAGACTGGATAATCTATGGAAACGTCTGTATGGCTGGCAACGGGGTTGGTGAAAAAGAATGGGGTAGCACAAAGAACTCATCTCCAGCCCCCTGATCACTGGAAGCCTAACCAACTTCCTACTAATTCTTTAATAGAATTAATTGAAAGAAATTACTGAATGTCTATTGAATAATAGACCTGGCTTTTATAAAAACCCAATGCTGAGATGCTGAGAACTCTGAAGATTCCGCTCTTCATACTTAGGAGTCCACAGTTCCTTGAGTCACCCAGCTTTTCACTTGATGCTCCTTTGTTTGGAATCCAATCTCTCTCACTCTGCCTACTTGAAAAAAAGTATTGTACTACTTATTTGTGGAATCTAGTTTCCCCCCTTGCTGTCTCCATGGATGACCTCTTAGCTACACGCTTGACCAAACTCCCCCTCTTGCTCAGGCCCCCTGAGCTCCAGAATTTGGGGTGACATCCCAGAAAATGAGAAATGTTCCAGCAAGGGCTGATCCCGCAGTGCAGAACCACTGGTATAAGCAAACCAGGCTTTGTGAAGCCCATGAGAAAGATGTGGAGAGCTTTAAAGGATGCAAATAATGGAGGCTTTCATTTGAATTTGGCTTTGCACACCTTGATCTGCAAGGAACTGTTCTTATTGTGCTCAGTTGTCTCGGGGCCATTCCCTGGAGGTCAGACCTGCTTCAACAACTTGGAGAGATCCAGATAGCTATTTTATTTATTGCCTTTCATTTTTTCAGTCAGCTTCATCCAAACCCAGGTCCTTCCAAGATGATAAGATATCTGTTGGAAACCAATATGCTGGAATGGAAGGAGAGTCTGTACAGCATGAAATTAATATCCTAATTACCAGTTGTGTCTTAACTTCGGGTTTCAGCATGCCAGTACAAATTGCATCTGCAGGACAAAATGACTCTGGAGCACTGATCCACCAGGCCCAGCCCAGAGGTGGTGGTACCATCACTGTGGCTTTATTGCCAATGCATAAGCACTATCACATCACTTATCATACCAATAACAGACTTTCTGGCTATAACGGAACATAGGAAAAACTAATATGCAGTCAATAAAGTGTTCAGATGTGCTTGACGTTTCACACTTCATAACCCTGTGTGCATCAAATCCCATCCTTTTCTTTTGCATTCGGGCCAAGAGGTACCAATCAGGGTTGCACTAGTGAAACTGGGAGGGTCAGGGAGCCCAAAATGTTCCTTAAGAAGCTCCTTTTAGAAGCCCCTTTTTGATTCCTGTTTTCTATTCTTGGCAGCAGCTTTGGTGGTGTTACTGTTACTCAAGCAACAGTTTTTTCCTGACTATGTCATCCCAGCCAATCAGGAATGACAGTCTGCATGGTGATGCCACATCGTATAGCCAGTGACATTTCAGCTATACAACATCACAAAGCCAATTAAGAATAAGGCAATATTTGTTGCTCTTGGTGTCAATGGACCACCGCTACACACTGTATTTGTTTGGTTTCAACTGTGACGTCACACAAAGCCGGTTCAAATTGAGTGCGATAACTCCTGCTTCAGTCAGAATGGGCAAATGCCTTCACTCCTGTTTGCATCCCCCTGAAAAACCATCAAGAGGCTGGGTGCTTGTCAGGGGGGATTATAGAATCATAGAGTTGGAAGGGACCTCCAGGGTATTCTAGTCCAACGGTGGGACAAAAGTGTTTGTAAAAAGCACCCTCCCCTATTTCAGGTCAAACCTAGTCCCAGCGTTAGTCAGTGCTGTAATTGGAGGCACTGCAGCTGGATCAGGAACAGGCCTGAAATGTAGCTTAGCAGTCTCAAATGGCGCTTAGGGTTGCCAGCTGGCTTGGAGAAAACTGCCCTGTCCCTTTAACAGGGTCTTAATGGGATGTGATTTACATCCGTGCCATGAAAAGCTTAAACTGCTCATTTCCGCACATTCAGGTACAGGACATTTTTTCTCCAATGCCACTTGTCAACCCTCTAACTTTCTGCTTCCCTTATCAGACACACACAGTGCTACTCTAAGAAGACTTTCCTGGGAGTAAGCCCCACTGAGTAGACTTTAGAATGGCACTGTCAGTATGCTTATCCACGATAACTAGCAGCTTATGCCACTCACTGCACTGCTATATCTGGTGCAGTAGGAGAAAATCAGGTGAAATCTGGATTTCAGAGCTAATGCTGAACCTCCTAAATTCTGCAACAATAAAAATTCAGATTCTGCAGTCAGAACTTGTTGAGTCTTCATACACTAAACCTAAGTCTTGCCTTTCTCCGTGCCTTTGTAGATGCAATAGCATTTTCTCAAACTTCCAGTAATCACAATCACAAACAGAGCTGCCAGCTTTTGAAGCTGCGCAGCAGCTGTCTCTTTAACAGCAATTTGATTGGCAGTGATTAGTAAGTGATGATGATTAGGTCCATGCTGTAAAAAGCAACCCCCCACCTTTTCTAGTGGATTGACAATGAGAGACAGAAGCATGCTTTTGTTATTAATTTAAGTCTGGAAGCTAAAGCTTCTGTAGTTGTTGCCACAATATGATGTGATGGCTATTTGTGAAAGTGTGTGTTTATTTTTTCTTTTTAAAGATAGATTAATGGAACTTCTATGTCCAAAGACAGTATGCCACAGAATGCCTGGTTTATGGGCCTTGACTGAGCATTGTTGGAGGAGGAGTGCTGTAATAGTTGGATTAAGAGTTAGATCTAGTGAAACACATTCTTAGTATAACAAACAGACAAATTATATACTGTATAATAAAACCACATAGAAATTTATGTAGCCTGTTGGCAGAATTCAGGAAATAATCCAATCCATACTTTGGAGTTTGCTTTCAATGAATCTACTGAAACAGGATTTTTGCTAAAAGAGACAATAACTGATTGCAGGCCATTAATGCGATAGAGAGACCTTCAGAGCACAAGCACTAAGACACAGCAAAGAATGAAACAACAAGAGGTAGGCTTAACTGGACGAAAAAAACATTCAATAGACCCTAAACACTAGAGAATGCTCCACAGCTCCCCCTAGGGTACATGTGGACCAAACTACCCTTTCAGCTGTATTTACAGTAACTAGACTCTTAGCAGGCTGTTGCTTCTCCAAGTCTTTTTCTAAGGCAGAGATGTCGAACTCATTTGTTACGAGGGCCGGATCTGACATAAAGGTTGCTTTGTCGGGCCGAGCCATGCATGCCATAAAATGTAACACAAGGTACCGGAGATGTAAATGGAGTTCACTAAAGAACTCGTTATTAGTTTGAAACTGACAAGTGGCTCTGTGTAACTCTGTAATTTTTATTTATGTATTTAGTTAGTTTTTTGCATTTATATCCCACCTATCCTGCAAGCAGGCTCAGGGCGGGGTACATCATATTTCAATAAATACAGTAAAATTTTAAAAACACAATATAAACGTTTAAAATCAGTAACTACAGCTTATAGTTGAGAGATTCCGGCCCGTTGGCGCAGATGGATATGTAACTTTGCTAGCAGATATAGAACAAAAAAGCTGTAAATTTATTTATTTATTTATTTAGACATTTTTACACCGCCCTCCCCGCAAGCGGGCTCAGGGCGGCTTACAAGGGGCAAGAGCCCATACATAAAACCCAACAAGACAATAAAATCATAAATAGCAACAATAATAACAGTAATAAAGTGCTTTCTGTGGACAAGATGGTCTTGAGTGGTTATGATGGCATCTTCAAGTCAGCCCCATTGGGGTACCACTGTCCAGTAGATCGTTCATGCCAATCCCACGTTGTCAATGCCACACAATTTATGGCTGAGCTTCCCAGGGCGATCCCGAATCCTGATAGTATTGCCACCGTTGGTGGTGGTGGCAGCAGCGGCCCCTATGCGAAAGCCTGGCGGAAGAGCTCTGTCTTGCAGGCCCTGCGGAACTGCATAAGATCCCGCGGGGCCCTGATCTCCTCCGGGAGCTCGTTCCAACAGGTAGGGGCCGCCACTGAGAAGGATCTGGCCCTGGTCGCAGGTTCCTGCCTTACTATACCAGTGAATCTAACAGAGAGGAACTCTTCTCTTTATTCAGCATTCAATACAGTGGCTTGAAGCTCCAGCAGGTACTGACTGACCAAGATGGAAGAGAGAAAATGGAAGCTGTCAGGCATCCAAGCATCTTAGGTGGGAAAGCAGTGATGTGGCTTACGTTTTCTTACTGAGAGATAATCAAGCCAACACAAAAAAGGGTCAGGTTATGAATATAGTTCTGATAACCTAGGTCTCTATGGGTCTTTGTGACTCAGATGCTATTTTAATGTCAATTCCAGGAGGTATTAGATCACATTATTCTAATTAGCTCTCCTTTTGCCCAGTCATCAGCAAATATATCCTCAGTGCTCAGTTCCAAGTGTAAGAGGATTTAAATCCAATCATTAAGATGCTGACATACCAGTTTAGGGAAATTAACTCTCACCTGGGAACTTTTCAGCCACTTTGGTTTGTCTCTTATATTCTGACATCAAATAGAGGTGCCAATTAGAATGATGAATATTCTGTGTTTGCAATTGGAAGCTTCAGAACAGGCTGCAGAATTTGGAGTTTCTGATTTTATTTTTTAAAAGGTGGTTCTAGCTTCCATACATGTAAACTGCTTGAAGATGCTTGTGCTACAGTTACGTTGCCAGCATGTACCTGCAGGAGGGTCCTGTGAGTTTTGTGCCAATGACAGGTTGTCCAGTAAAGCTGTGCTGGCCAGAAAGCTGCAACCATCTTCTTGGCAATTCTGCAACTCACTGTATTGTAATTTGTTTGTTTCATCTTTTATAATCCACACACACACACTCAAAATTCTAGGCTTACAACGATAACAAGTACAATCAAATCAATAAATCCACAATGAATGCAAAACAAAAACCCTTACCAAAAACCCTTAAATGATAGTCTAAAACTCTCAATAACTGGCTTAAATAAAAATAATATATATAAAAGCCAGTTGTTTCAGGGCAGTGTGAATGTGGAGGCAGCCAAAGAAGGAATCAGATCGCATGCTAGATAATAATACCTAGCATTTGATGTCACATTTCAGGTGTTCAGAATGTTTCACATATAATTTTAGTAATCCCTCCAAGAATGTTGTAACAAAGGCCAACATAATATTCTCACATTGCAGAAGAGGGCCTGAGATGGACAGATGAGAGTGGTTTATGAGAGTGGTTTGAGAGATTAAGGCTGAGGGGACACA